TTTATTTATATTTACTAACGATTACATCAATTTATCAAGTTACAATTGGTCACAATCTATAGGGCCAACATGTGTCGCCACCCTTCTATCACACACGCTAACGGTTTAGAAGTCAGACAAAAAACGAGAAAAGTCTCCGGGCAGACGGGACGGACGATTGGCGATCCTGAATATGATTTATAGATCTGGCGTCACTGGCAATGTGCTTTCTATACGTCATAGGACATGTCACCGCCTCCTACACCGACATAATGAAGAAACTGAATTATTACGTAAATTCTTCGAAACTTTCTCGAATCACTTGTACCTTAGATGCATAAATCGGGATAAACACCTAACTATACTTAAACTACACGAAACGATTACCACATTCATAACACCTTTATAACCGTACCCCTTTAAAAGAATTATCTGGTTTTCTGGTCTTCGTTTTCATTTCGATTCTACGTATCGTCTTTCAAAATTATTTCTCAACACGGACCGAACATTTGTATCAAATCGAACAATAATCGCTCATATTGTCAGTTACAATACAATTTGTTGGAAACTCGACGCGTGAGAGAAATAATAACAAATGATTCGCACCCTAACACCGCCTGGCGTTGAAAGATCACGCCTATTGCTCTCTTGCTGATGAAAAAAGTATTATACAATATTACTCACTAAGATACATTAAGTTTGAAAGTCGTTACATAATACGAATGGAGGTCTGAAGACGTTTTTATAAGTATGTGATAGAAGTACCTGCTTATGTACTCGTACATAGGTAAGTTCCCTTACTACATGCTTCGCCCCTCGTGTGCATACATACATACAGTCTAATCTCATTTGCCTGTTAGGTATCGTGTTTGCTACGAGGTATAATGTGCCTATGTTGGACCAGAAGGCCAATTCTCGTAATAAACGTTCGGTCTCAATTCAGTTCCGATCAACTTTCGATCTCATGACTATCTCAAAAGATGTTTTCGTAGTAAAATAGTAAAGTATTACTAAGACTAGCAGCGTAACGACAGTGGCTTGTACGTTAACATAAAATAGCAGAATTTAAGCCCAGTGGACTTGAGATGATGCGATGACATTTCTAATTGTTATGATATGACTCTTCCTAAAAAATAACTCTTTTCTACCCGAACACTTTCGACCTATTTCCATTCTCCCCGTCCTATCTAAAGTGCTCGAGGCCTGTGTATACAAGTAGCTTTCAGAATTTTATATCTAAATAAACTGCTAAGTCCTCTACAGTCCGACTTCAGGCCCGGTCACAGTACTGTTACCGCCCTCCTCAAAGTTACTGCTGCTATTAGGAAGGGTATGGAAAGCACCAAAGTTATAGTTCTGATCTTAGTTAATTTTTCTAATGCCTTTAATATCATCAGTCACGTAATCCACAAACCGTTTCACATTTTAAAAAGAATGTACCTACATAATTACCTTCTTGATGGCGGAATTACCTTAATTTATAGTACAACTCCTTAAAGTCTAGTATTCACAGTATACATATGTAAAATTGACTTGACTGCACGGATGGCGTAGTGGTTTAAGCGGACAGCTTACCACTACGCTGAGTGTTGTGGCTCCGATCCCCACATGGAACAAAAACCATTTAAAACCATTTAAACCATTTATTTTTGCTACACAAGAAACATAAAACATACACGGATACAAGGCACATTACTAAAACACAACATTAATTTTATAATACATTTGGCACAATGTGTAGCAAGGGCTACCAGCTGAGTATACGTTGCGCGAAAGCACAGCACTGCTTTTCAGGTGGCGCCTGACATTTGCCCCAACAGTTAGAAATTAAACGCACACAGATAACTCGCAACACAATGAATATAAAATCCAAGTAAATAATATATAAAGTAATAATAAAATAGTAATACATAAAAGAAAATGACAGGAGGGTATATAACAAACAAAAAAAAAAGAATTATTTATTTAAAGGACACAAAAAAGTGTTAAAATTATGTTTACAATATATGTATGCAGGTTCCCACGACCAGACCAAGAGCGAATATGAAAGACGGGTGCGAAGGACACACGGTTCCGCTACAGTAATTTCTGTTGAGTAAGAAGTATTCTAAGCAAATGTAGTACCTAAAGTCGTTTGGGACATACTTATTCGCAGAGGTGGAGGTAAGTCGTTTCATATCTTTGAAGCAGAATACTTGAAGCCTCCCTCCCTTGTATTGAGCACACTTTGTGTGATCCACAAATTGTTGTTCTGAGTCTCGGTGTTCTTTGTGTCCATTTCATGTTTGTTTGTAAAGTCCCCCGCGACACAGGATATATTCCTAATGTGAGAGTTGTCTATTAAAAAAAAAGTAGGTACATGTGTTTGTGTGTATTTATATGTATAACTATTTATGTATGTGTGTAACTGTTTATCTAAGTTTACGTTAGTTTTATATTTTTATTTATTTATTATAAATTATAACCATTCACTAGGTACAACTTTCAGTGCACCTACCTGCCAAGATTTCTGCACCACCCAATAGTTGGCTGGCAGTGGCGGCATAACTACCCTGCAAGAGAGCGCTGCTGGTAGCCTGACGTGAGTTTTATATTGCACGGCATAAGCCCCGGGTGGCCCTGCTTGCTACCCCCAAAAGCTGCCCCTATGTGATATTACAAAATACCCAGGGCATTGATTCCGCCATTCGGAAATTCAGCTGGGCATTAAATTTTCAATAATAATATTTTAACTCCCCTAGTCCCATTATTTAGATATAGTACCTACTTGCAGAATAACTAAACTTAAGAAAAATTAAGACCCTAGATAGGATTACCTAATTCATGACATAATGACAAACGATTATGAGTATGAACGTAACATAATAATTGAATAAACGAGTATAATTTTGGCTTGTTACACTAAGAAAGTTTTCAAGTATTATAAAGGTGTCTCAGAGTTCACCTTTTCATTTTAAAATAAAAACACGTATTTTATGAAAGAGTTGTGATATTTTTATTGGATTGTAAAGAAGACATGTTTGAGATGACAATTTTGTGTATTCACGTAGACATTCAGATGGAAGTGCGCTTCATCGGAGAAGATGACTTTTTTCGAAGAATTGGCGTCGACTTCACTTTGCTCCATTACCCATTGAACGGATTGCTGGCGCTTTCCATGGTCTGCTGGTTTGAGCTCCTGAGTTAGCTATATCTTGTACGCATGAACTTGGAGGTCTTGTCAAAATTCGGTGAAAGAACGGTGCCGAATTGATGTTTTCGGTGTCACTCTCGTTTACAGCAGTAATGTTTTTAAGAGATCGAGCCAGTTTCTTCAAATTTTTTACCACTCTTCGAATTGTGAACACAAAATCGCTCACACATTAGGTGCACTTTCTCTACTGAAAATGTGCCTAAGTTTTCAATTATAACGCGCCTTTTTTTTATGGCAAACTGTGCCGATGTCGACAATTTTGCCAAAGTCTAGTGTGTAATGAAGGTGCGTGTGTTTGTAGAGCCGTAGAGGGGTAAAACATAACCTCTGAAGGACATCACTGCACTGAATGGGATCTGTTTGTTGTTAATTATAGAATTTAAAGAAGAGCAGACTAAAGTTTGATGGTATTACAACGTATAAAGATCAAGAGTTGCAGAGACGTGCAGCCATGTACTATTCAAGACAAAACATGGAATACGATTTTTTGGGAGCGCGGGATCGCGGTAAAATTTACAAGATTGCTTCAACAGCAGTCCGATGTCAATTTTCTTCTGATTAATTTCGTTGCTTGTTCCAAGACAGTTTAATTTCTTCCTGGGACTCTCCGAGTGTCATAACTCGGTGTGTTCGTGGGTCACTGCTGTGGATCCTGGTGTACAGGAGTTACAGTGGTGGGCGTGTGGGTGGGATTAGTCCCAGCACTACTAATAAAAGTTTGGTGATCACGAAAGGATTGAAGTATCAGTGGAGTTTCCCTATGTGCATTGGGCACATACAATCTAGAAGTATTGCAGACAGTATCCAAGTTAGAAATTATTTTGTAGAGGGGGTGACTTGGTTTACAAATTACTTTTAATAAAAAACGTGCAGACAAGAATTGTCTTCTTATTGCTTAGGGAGGTTCAGAACATTCCACTTGCATCGCGTTGATGGGAGAGGACTTCATACAGCCAGTTATAATGCGCAAGCACTTAGCTTGAACTTTGTCAAGTGATACTAGTGCACCCTTATTACAAGGAATAATCAAAAACAAACGGTAGTCAATTATGCTGCGTACTAACGCGTTGTAAACTAGTTTCATGGTGTATGGGTGGGCCCCCCACCAGACACCAGCTAAGGCCTTTATTATTGGGATGGTTCGCTCACATTTGGAGATCAAATAATTGATGTGATGTATGCCAGTCAATTTAGAATCCAAATAGACACCTAGAAATTTAAATTTTGAGAAGATAGGAATGCTATATTGTTGTACTTGAACATCAATTGTAGGAAGCATCCTTTTACGAGAGAAGATTACAACAGCGCTTTTGGGAACGGAAAGGTACATGCCATGGACAGATAACCACTGACTTAAAGAGTTCTGTGAGAGAGAAAGAGATTGAGCTGCATCTTGAATGCAACGGTCGCTAACATACAGAGCCAAGTCGTCAGCATATTGTATTATACGACAGTTTTTAACGATTTCCATCACCTAAAATCTCTTAATAAACACAAAAAGAAAACGTATTGACAAAGAGGACAAGAGGGACATTATACTCATTTTTATTAAGCCAGCTGAATTTCAAAATAATATAAAATCCCAAGTATTCAGAACTAGAAACTCGATTAAAGAAAACTACATTGACTTAATCAAACAGTGACAGCTGTCATTTTAAAGAAAATCAATGAAATGAAAAAAAAACTAATACAGAAGCCGTGCTGTCAATAGTTTTGTAGCCTCCTATTAGCTCACATTATTAATTATTTCTCATTACAACTTGGCATCTCTTAGCGTCCAGTCGACTGTTGTAATTCTGTCAGTGCATCGATACCTAATCTTGATAATATGAAATGGACGGCGCACATCGAAGGAGGGCCGATGAGAGTCAATCATGCAGCAGTATGCATTGGAAACAAAATTTATTCTTTCGGAGGATATTGTTCAACCGAGGAATATAAAGATTGGGAACCTATACCGGTCCATGTTTTGGATACGGAAACATTGCGTTGGGCAGCAGTAAATTATAAGAAATCTGATATGGTACCGTTTCAGCGATACGGCCATACAACAGTGGCATATGGAGACAAGGTAGGCTTAGATTTATAACGTGTCTTCTAAATTTAATATGTAATAAACAGACCTTTACGGACAGCCGGATTCAATCCAAGTTTTTGCTCACCCATGATGAAGTTTGTGTAGAAACCCATTCTTAGATTACTTTTTTATTCATTCCATGACTATATCTAAATTCTTCAAGAATATTATAGACTAACAATTTACCTTTAAAACTATAGATGCATTATGACAATTTAACAAAAATAATCATATATCATTAAAATAAATTGTATTGTTTCAAATAATTAGTTTACAGAAAGTTGTGTTCAGAAGCTTCTTTTTAGCAAATATTGCCTGTAGTAGAAAATTCCGATCTATCTATTGTTATCTCTTTTGATATTTAAAAAGTGTAGTACCTACATATTTAGAATGTAACGAATACCAAAATTAATTCTTACCTACTGAAATGATTGAAACTGACTGATTGACTGTAAGAATAAAAACAAGTATATTTTCTCACAGTCTTTAAATTAATGGACCCGTTGGTCGAGTGGTCAGTGACCCTGACCGCTAAGCTGGAGGTTGTACCTTTGATTCCCACCTAGGAGAAATAATTGTGTGATAAGCACAATCATTTGTTCTGAAAGTCTGGGTGTAATTTATCAATAATATGTATGTATTTATAAATATATAATTATGTTTATCAACAGTCTGGTTACCATAGCGTAGGCTCAGCCTAGTTCGGGATCAGATTGCAGTGTGTGAGATGTGTAAAGTTATTATTAATTAATGAAATTTAATAATACAAATTCCTAATTGTACTCAGCAATATCTTTTTATAAATTAGAAACTACAAGATAAAAGATTTTTTAAAGGTTTCTCAATTATTTAATATATCACTAACTATCCTAAATATTTGTATATAGGCTATATCAAAGAATAATGAAACAAAAAGAGATCAGGTTCATCATCATCATCAACAGCCTATACTAGTCCACTGCTGGACATAGGCCTCTCCTTAGAAAGGAGGTTTCTAAGGAGAGGCCTAGGAGGAGGATCAGGTTCTAATAGACATAAAATAAAATATCTACCAGTAGTGTATGATATATCTGAGATCACAATGAGAAGTGTGTATCACTGTCTTTTATTTAGATATATGAGAAGTGTCCGTCATAAAAAATATATGAATAACTACCAACAGGTTTTACCTCATAATCTACCTACACTACAGCCTTGTACTGCTATTTACACTATACTTTTACATAACATAATACACTATACATACATATACATAATACACTATATATCAGTTGAGGAAAATTATTATTGATTAAATAACCACAACTGTAGTTCAAGAAAATAAGATTTTTTTGGCTTATTTTGACTGGAATCGTTTGTCTGAACAAAATAGTAAAATTTCTGATAAACATTATTTTCAATTAAAAAACAAATATATGGCCGCAAAAGGCTATCAAAAGTAAAGGAAAAAAGAATCATCATGTCCAAAATATAAATATCTGTGTTAGAAATAGGTTTATTCTCTAACTATTGCTCTTATAGTATATAAAGTTTTGTAAAATTGATTGGTTATTGTTGGTCTTCAGAGATAGAATATTTTAATAGAGGTAGACGTTTCTTTTTGCCAAATTTCGTGATTCTAGGTCAACGGGAACTACCACATAGGTTTTCGACTCAAAACCTATAGGGTACTTCCGGATGACCTAGAATTGACAATTTTGGTTAAAAGCAAGGACTTACAGCACAAGTAAAGAAAAAATCCAAAAAAATAAAAAAGTTGAAAATAAGGTAAGGTAAAGTTTGGTACTTACAAGTTTTCGCGAAAATCGAAATTTGCCCATATCTTTTTAATTAGGACCTTTATTAAGGATAGGATTTTAATAGGGACCATAGACCTCAGTATCTGGTATAAATTTCAACTTGCTAGGTCTACCCGTACTACTACTACCGTACTACACGCTTACTTCGGTTAAAATTAAAAAAAAATACGAAATTACAGAAATGCAAATTTAGAATAAATTAATGCAATAAAATTATTGCCGAATTAGAACACCATTGTGAACATGAGTCGCTGAACTGTAGACGAAAGACGAAAGCCGCGACGAGCCGGCGAACTTTACATTCTTATTACCTACCTACTAATCACTTCACTTGCTTTTTTACAACAATTTATTAAAAATACGATTTTATTCACGTGTTTACGAGAATGCTCGACTAGCTTCGAGCCCGGCAGTACGTGTCAATCCTTAAAAAAGTAGGTACTTTTGCTGTCTCATATTTTGCAAATCTTCTAAAAATAAAGTGCAGAATGAGTATGTGGTTTACAGATTCGTCAAAACAAAAAACACACGGTGTATAAAGCTGTTACTAGTACGGTGGCCATTTCTTCATCGACTTCATTCATCGTCGTATTGTGTTATAGGTACATATTAGAAAATACATTTCGGTATCTTATACACTCACATAAAAATTTTAATTCATGAACTGCCAGAAAATTTAATTGATGAATAGCGAAATTAGAAATGATTAAATTATTTATGAAAAAAAAGAAAGACCCTATCAATTTGCTCGGAGGTTTATTCGTCGGAGCAGCGACAATATCGGTGAGCCAATATCTGACCGACGTTATGATTTAATTGCCCCGCGTCCTTACTTCATACCTCCAAAAGGACCTAAAAATCGACTTCTGCGCATGTGAAGGTCAGCGCTAAAGCTCGGTGCTGGTATCTATACATACTACTGTCCCTTTTCAGAAAATAACTCCACAGATTGCAGAAAAGCTAGAGGGATAAAGTTACACATAAAAAAATTGTTCAGCCTGATCCTGTGAATCAGTCCAGTCATGGTTTCTTTTTATTTATTTATAAATAGATTTTAATTGTGTTAGTAAATGACTAATCTGTAAAAAAACAGACGAAACCTCAAGGTTTCGTCTGTTTTTTTTTTACAAAATATCGTGTGTTTTGTACCAAAATGTTAATTTAAATTAACATTTTAGTAGTGTTTACGAGAATGCTCTATATATTATACTATAATAATTAAATGACATATCTGTAAAAAAACAGACGAAACCTCAAGGTTTCGTCTGTTTTGTACAAAAATGTTAATTTAAATATTTAAACATTTAAATTAACATTTTTACATAATACGTTATGTGTAAATTAATTGGAACAACAATAGTGTTTATTTACATATTATCATAAATTATTGTACAAATGCACCTTAACACCATTTTAATAATATAAAAATTAAATAGTGCTAAGTAAAATTATGTATGTTACATGGTGTCTTGCATACAATGGAATTCAACCCTCAATACATCAACCATCAGAGTAGTTGACAAAATGTAAACAAATTATAAAAAATCTCTTGAGGTTTTCAATTTTCTGCTGTTAGTTGAAATTCTTGTATAAAATATTAAGAAACGAATACAAATTATATGACGTTAAAAATATTGTAAAAGGCTAACGGGTATTTCTATGAGAAAGTGATCCTAACGCTAACTCTCCCACTAAGGACTAATAATTGTGTGATGAGGGATGAGGACTAATTTATCTATAATATATCTGGGTGTAATTCAGCGGCGTGCACAGGATTATGACACTAGGTATGCGGCGGAGTAGTCGGTCACTTTTTCTTTTATAGATTTTTATCACAAGTCTTAGATGTACTACTATTCATGTAGATCTTCAACGGGAACGCAGACAAAACAGCGAAAGATCGTCGCGGCGGAAGAAATTCTAATAAGTAAAATAATAAGCTAAAATATTATAACTACTCACCATGCATCATGCTTCTTTGCTGCGGAATAGAAATTATTTAAATCTGAATATCCCGAATCAGTCCACACTGTACTAGAATTACTAAACAATATGCAAGGAAAACAATATAATTTAATCGTGTGTACACAACCACACAGCCAGGTATACGTTTCATAACTTTTAACATGAAACTTGCGAGTTACATTTCCTTTTTGCTGGTTTAATTGTTGTAACTCGGGTACACACCTACCTTTAGACACAATTTTAATCTTTTCACTGAATGGCAATTGTGAGAACTTGGTATTTTTAATTTTTAATAGACATACATTATCCACACATAACTCACAATCAAATAACATTTTAAAAAAATCAACGGAACTCAGTAATAAACTGTTAAATGTACACACTTTCAAATAAAACTAAAATTATACTGGCGGAAAGAAAATAGTAAACAATACTTATCACATGAAAAAATCAATATGGCCCCTGCGAACAAGAAACATATCTGCTAATTAAACAAATAAAACCTTACCATATTCAAAATTCATAATCCGCATATCATGATTCATTATATTTCTGACTATTGTAATTGGGTGGATTTATAGGCAACGAACACTGCCGATTATACCCGAATACTGACGACAACGATTAGCGCGGCACCCGAAGGCCAACTGCAGTATCCTGCGGCTGTAGTCGGCCATATAAAATAAATGGGTGTGTGCGTATGCGAACTGTGCACGGACACCAAAATTACTACACACATGCGAACAAATGTCCTGCGCGAGGCGACGGCATGAGTTGGTTTGGTTGGCTTTTCGGTAAACACCTGGCAAACAATGTTTGTGTGGTGCTATTTTTAAATAGTAGGCGTTTTTAAGTTATTATATTTTGTTTTTTCATTTATTTACTATTAATTAAAGTCATCTAAAACGTACCAACGTTTTATTAAAATGTCTGTGAATAGCAAGTAAATCACTGCATTTCTGCCTACAAGGAGCGCACGCCCCTGGTGTAATTTATCTATAACTTATATGTATTTAAAAATATATAAGTAAGTCATCATAATACAGACTGCCTAGATCAGACACAAGACGCCTTTTTATAAAAGATTTAAGTATGGGTCTCAGATACCCAGGTATTAAGATAGTGTTGACAGCTGGGTATTATGTTGTTATAACAACACCTGTACTGAATACCTAATAAATATTGAATCGGCGGTAACATTGACTACTCTGCCAACATAACCCACTTCTAACATTTAACTTGCTGGAGGGTTACCTCTCCAAGAATATTAGTAATGTGTGGCCAATGATGTTAGCATTCTTGTCAGGAAAAAAAGCAGCAATGGCAGTCACAAAAACTTAAGAAAATTAAGTGTAAAGTAATAATGAATATACGCGACGTACGGCAAGTCTATTTAATGACATTTTAAATGATGTTGCTCAATGAAATAATATACAACATTCAACGTGTAATGAATTATAGTAGTTATTCAGGCACTAGTTGATTTAAACCATAATAAACTCGTACTTTTGACTTCTCAGGTATATATGTGGGGCGGTAGAAATAACGCTGTGGCATGTGACACACTCTCCTGTTTCGACACAAAAACTTTGGAATGGTCAACGCCACCAGTCTCCGGCATGGTACCTTATGCTAAAGATGGACATTCTGCATGCGTTATCCAAAATAAGATGTACATTTTTGGAGGATTTGAATATCTCACAGATCAGTATTCTCAAGAAGTTCACTGCCTGAATCTCGATACTATGAAGTGGACTTTCATTAATGCCGCTGGTACTCCACCTTCACACAGGGACTTCCACACTGCAGTAGCTTACGGTACAAGAATGTACATCTATGGTGGACGCGGTGACATGAATAGTCCATACAATTCCCAGGAAGAAGTATATTGCCCTGAAGTGTTTTTTTTTGATACTGTATCTGAGACATGGGTAGGTTTAAATCCGCAAGGTATATGGCCAGAAGGACGACGTAGCCATTCAGCATGTAAGTTTCCTTAAACTTTGTACAAACACACCTTTTTTTTTTTCCGTGCGGAAATCCCCTCGGATACCAGCTATCGGTGGCATGTCGGACTCGAACCGACTAAAACCGCACGCCGTCGCGGGTACTAATAGCCGGGGAACCAGGTATACCCTAGAAAGGAAGTCCCTGGTGCCCCGACGTGGTACAAACACACCTAATGCTTTTTAAGCAAGTAAACAGGCATGACTCGCTAATAATAGTGAAGTGATGACTGAGGCACTGACAGAGCCTTGATGTGTATCAAGACTACATAATATGTTTGTTATTGCGTTATTTTAAGGGTCTGTTTAGTTGGTTTTATCATTAATGACAAATTCCTACATCATTTATTAACAAATTACGTGATAATTGGTTTATGGTGCTGAAGGGTAGATAATTGCCTTACCCGATTCTACAGGGTTAGTATAAGGTCTCTCCAAAGAAAAAAAATGATTTGAATGACATTCTGCGAAAACGACGTTTTGCAAAGTGACAATATCCGAAAATGGTGTTTTGAGAAAATGACATTTAGTAAAACTAACGTATCGGAAAATGACTTTCTGCGAAAATGACGTTTTACGAAAGTCACATTTGGCGAAAGTGACCAAATTGTCTTAATTATTAATTTTCATTTTATTATATTTCAGGGCTTTACAAAGATCACATGTATATATTCGGAGGATTTAACGGAAACACGAAGACTCATTTCAATGATCTGTACAGATATTCCATAACTGACAATGTTTGGGAATATTTGAATGTAACTGGCACGGTACCGTGCAAACGACGGCGCCAAGCTTGTCTAATTTACAAAGATGTAGTCTACTTATTTGGAGGAACAAGGTCAGTTGTTTTTTTGTATTTTGTAATCATATTTTCTGTTGATATTCTTGTAGTAGGACTAAGATACGGGGCTATACGTCCGGCCTCTTCAAGGTATTAGTCTCAGTTTCCTTTCCCCATCTGACACTTGATCCCTTTCCTCGGCTCAACGACCCTAAACATTAATATTTTTCTTTGACCAAAATACCATTGACCAATACATTACAGATCTAGTAGGATAACGTCAGGTAGGTTGCGATGGCGGGCTATAAAAAAAACTGTTTTGTTTTTAAAAATCTTATATAATTCTTTATACTCATTGCGTTGACCCTAAATAAAATTGAGAAAAGGGCAGGAAGATAATGTTAATGGTGTTGTGGTGGTAACAAAATATGTTAAGGATATAAAATTTCAAATCTGGATATTTATACGGATACGTGACCAATATCGTTTCAGTTACGGATAAGATTGAATTGTTGATAACTGTTTTTTTAACTTTTGTTTAATAACATGTATTTTAGCTGTTGGGTGTTTTGTTTTTTTATAAAGTTGAACACTTCTTTATACTTATCACTATGTTTTAAGGTGAAGTTTTAGCGGATTACAAGGCTATACATGAAATAAAGAAATGAAAATGATGGTTAACGTATCGTCATTTTCATTTCGCCTTTTTGGAAAACCTGTGTCAATAGTCATTTCCTAAATTACATTAGATTATATGCATGTAGTGTCTACCGATATAACTAGCACTTGGATTAAGCATAGCACTATGTTATATTTTGTAACGAATGTTTTAGTGTTACAACTGCTGGTAATCCAGTAAAAACTAAAAATCTTTTTAGTACTTTGATAATATTGCTAAATAAAAACATTCACTTAACTAAAATTTGTGGGGATTATGTTCTTATATTGGTGTGAAATGTAAGTATTTTTTACAGCCCCTGCCCAAACCCAGATAACCGCATATTAGATAATTTGAATGCCAACCCGGAGCGTCTGATTGACAACAGCGATCTTCACCTTCTGGAATATGCGCCGACCCTTAAAACTCTCTGTATATTAGTTGTGGTAGAACACAATCTAGACCAAAGCTTCCTACCACGTGATATTGTGTAAGTGTTTACAATGTCAATCGTTTTTTTTATTTGGATTACTTGTGTCTAGCCAAAAACTTTTCCCAAAATATCACATCGTAAACTATTTTACATTTGGCAAAAACACATTTCGCACCTTTAAATACAAACCGTTTCTAAACGAAAATATTCAATTTTACACAGGAGCTAAAATAAGAAAAATGCAGGACCTTTTTGCAATAGCATTTAAGATCATGGTGGTTTGAGCTATTGATATTTATTTACACTATAACATTAAATTCAGAAAAGCTATTTTTTTTTAATAGAACATTGTTAATTACGATTTTAAATTTTTATAGTAACACTTTTCCATTTTTTTTTTCAATTATGATTAATTATTGTAAAATCCCCATATAAATTATGTAACAAAATATAAAAATACTTGAAAACCCATTATAATAATGATTTTACAATACTACTAAATTGAAAATATTATAATTAGCATTCGCTCAAATTGTGACTGGACAGATAAATAAAATAAGACATTCTAATCAATGTTTTATTCTCATTTAAAACGCGAGATCCATACATTTCTTTGACATTATGGCACTTAAATCTTTAGCATTGTTGGATTTCTTAATAATCAGTCTTTATTCAGTATCTAGTTTTAAACCACAGCAAGTTGTCACTAAACTTCCGTCAAACTTCCGTCATCACTCATTAACGAACAATTCACAATTAGTATAGACACGATATTGCATTTAGCAAGCAAATCTTATTTAGTTTTGTAACGGACAAAACCGACGCCATCTATGTCTAAAATTGGATTTTTTTGAACAGAGTCAAACTCATCGTATAGTTTACGTAGTTTTAAGAAAGATGGTATTAATAACTCAATTCTCCAAAAATTTCGTTTAGTAACGGTTTGTCTTTAAAGGTGCGATTTGTCAAAAAAAGTTATTTAGTTAGCAAAACTCATTTTTGGTCTAATTTCATTTTTTTTCAAGTATAAATTAGTCATATGTACCGTTATGGTTCCATATGAGTTTGGACTCATATGGAACCATAACGTTACATATGACCAATTATATATTATATAATTATATATTACAAATCACAACATTAAAAAAACTCGGAACAGTTCGTTTGGCTGTTGGGGCGCAGTTCTAACCTAACCCACTTTTCTGGCATTTGGCAGCAGTTCACACAGCAAACAATTTTTAGAATATAAGTAATATTTGCTAAAATGAAAAGTTTGCTTATTGAAGCTTGACAAAGTAAAACGATGCCAAATGATAATTTGAACAAGTTAATAAAAAATGCGATAAGTTTCTTTGGGAAGTGAAATTTGACCAAAAAATTATTTTGCCCAAAGGGCTGTACACCTTTTTATTTACTACTAGCTTCTGCCCGCGACTTCGTCCGCGTGGAATAGTAACTTTGGGCTAACGCTAACTTTAACCCGCGACTTCGTTTACGTAGAAGGTGAAAATATTTTTAAATAATACGTACGTTAAGGAGCTATTCCATTTACGCAGCGGAAACTCTCAAAAGGAAAAAAAAAGATTTGGAAACTTTCTTCATTGGTGCTCCGCTCCTATTGGTCTTAGCGTAATGATATATAGCCTATAGCCTTCCTCGATAAATGGGCTATCTAACACTGAAATATTTTTTCAAACCGGACCAGTAGTTTCTGAGATTAGCGCATTCAAGCAAACAATCAGCTTTATAATATTAGTATAGATTTGTAAACTCAAGTGCTCAAATGCATGTCTGATGATAATTATTACTATTATTGAGAAAAAACAGCAAAAAAAATATTTTCATGATGAACCCAGTGGTTTTTTTAAATAATAAAAACAGACGTCCCGAACGCTTCGTCTAGTAGGTACCCGTCTGATCTCAAACTAACGCCTGTACCATGGTGGGTTACTGATACTTACATATTACTATACGACGAACTCACGACCTTCACAATAACCCTCCACCATTTATATCAACATTCCAGTTAGTCAAATTATGGCATTTGATCCGACATAATGTATATTTTTTACTGGTTTATAGTATAAAAACAATGATATAAAAAATGACATTCCCATCAATAGGATATATATATAAAAAACTATCATAGACACTGTGACGCGTTCGCGTTATGACTAAACTTCATTTTTGATTAACTTTCATCCTAAGTGTCTGTTTGCCTAAGACAGTTTGTCTACTTCGCTATAATACCTGAATTTTACATGGTCCACATCGCGTTATGCCTAAACATTGTAAGTTCAATGAGTATATGGAAAAGCAGTGGATGGTAAAATTATAAGATATTAGTTGCGCCAGTCAAATCCATGGCACGAATAACTCTTTAGAAGGCTGGGATATAGGATTGAATTCTCGGATGAAGGTCAAACTGCTATTCAATTTTTTTTTATTTAAGATAAAAAAAAGAGGCACTGTGGCAGTCGTTAAACTGAAACAAAGCTTTTTTGAAGGGAACAGAAGAAGAAGTATAGATATGATTTTCAATTCAAGGTACCGAAAGGAGCTGGAAAACTTACAAAATAACGATGTGACAGGACTATATTTCATTAAAAATCTTTGTAAAATAAAAAAAGAGCTACTAAGAATTCAGTCTCTAATATTTAACTCTGTAAATTATTAGTTAATTTTAAAGTAATATAACACTAATTTAAGTTTTATTAAAGATCTAATGTAAGTTCATATGTATTAATGGATTCAATAAAATTTGATGGTAATGGAACCACCTCGGGAGTATACCCCTTTCGATTACAAAAAGAATTCTGATTTTTTTTCCACAATTGACGGACAATTGCCGAATTGATAATCTCCTGCTTTGTGTTTTTGAAGTCGGTTAAAAATATCGGAAATCAATGTCCAAATGTCCTTAGGGAGTAAGGAAAAGTTACTAGGTTTAAAGTCTAGGAAGTTTTCTCGCTTCTGAACTATATCGTAGTAGGTCTAACTCGCGATATAATATATATCGTAGTAGGTCTAACTATCTTTATGCCTAAATCGCGATTTGTTTAGTCGTAATGTGAAGTAGTTGTTCTGCGTCTAATACGTATACCCCGCGTAAAGGACTGTGAGGTCTTATTAAGTAAAATTGATTAATAATATTGATAAAGTTTATGGGATAATTAAGTGATTTCTCTTTTCAGATTGGATATCCGGACAGTGACAGTTCCAAATCGCATCAGCAGGCCAATAAACCAAGCTGGTTGAGCTAGAGATTTAGTGCTGCTATATCTATATATGTTTTCAGCAGCCGTACTTCTGTGTTTAGTCATTATTATATTTCTTCTATACCTTATAGATTATTTTATACATGAGTTTGAGGAAACAAATGTTCCATTGATGTCTGTGTCATTTAAAAATTAGATCTCAGTGTTACTTAAACAATAAATGTACGACCTCAACTATTGATTAATTATTGAAACTACCAAATGAAACAAGTTGGTGTCTTGCATACAAATAATTTATTCATCCTCCTTAACTATGTGTCTTTGCCGTTCGGGGACGAAAGGTACAGTACCAGGTTTGCTATGAGCACGTCTATTACCCTCTTTTCTCTTATTCTTCTCTTTTATAGTTCTAATCTCCTTCTGGGCATTAAGAATGTGTTTAGGAACGTGTCTATGTCTTGCAATGCGTTTCACTTGTGGATGGTTGGCGAATTTCTCCTTTAGAGATTCCGAATAATTCAGTGCAGTTCTCTCACGGGGTTTAAGCTGAAAATATTAATCATTTTTAATTTTTACATATTGGATGCTCGTGTGAATACATATAATGTATTAAGACAATAATAATCTTCTATGTGTCAATCTATATAGTCCCACATAATTATGGAAAAATTAGCTATAAAGAAACGACAAAATCACCAATGGAAAGCTACATTATCAGTGAGTAATATAGGCCACTTTTTACTGCGATAACCGACATACATGAGGGTGGAGCTTCAGGCAAAAGCCAATACCTATGTAATACTAGGGCTGCTATTTATATATCTGAAACTGGCCAGTTCCAGAACAATATTAAAAAAAGTAATCATAACATTTAAAAATGGCTTTGGCTGAAGAATCTGGTCACGGACGTATTTAAAGAAGGTCGCCCTAAATCGGCTGTTGTAGATCAAAATATTGATGCTATGCAGAAACGAATAATGCAAGATCGTCATGTTAAATATCGCGAGATATAGACGTCTCTGGGAATAAGTATGACGAGTATATATATATTATATAATATTACACGATTTAGGTAAAAAAAAATGGTTCACGTTCAATTCCGCACCACTTGAGAATTAACCAAAAGCGGTGTGAAAAACGTATTGGTACGTTAATGTACGTAACGTTTGGTATAAATGAAGATGTGGCTACAGTGCCACTAGAAGATCGTAAAACGTTTAATTCTGAATGGTACCCGACCATTTGTTTGCCAGAAGTCTTTAAAGAAATAAGAAAGAATAACCGACAAAGCAAGAATCCTCCTTCATCATGACAATGCTACACATCGGCCGAAACAACTCAGTATTTAGAAGATGGAAAGATCGAATTAACGGGTCATCCGCCGTACAGCCCTGACGTGGACAACATTTTTCGAGTCGTGAAGAGGCTGCGTTCAAAATTCACGTTTTGAATTTAGAATGGAAAAAGTGCTACGAAAATTGGTTCTGACGTATGCAAAAGTGCATCGATCATCATGGCGCATATTTTGAAAAGCAATGAAACTGTAATAAATGCTATATGTTTGTTTCACTTTGTTATTCCGGATACGTTAGTAGCAGCCCTAGTATAGACACCATTGCTCCACTAAATTGCACGAATTGTAATTTCTGTAATGTACATATAAGACATTAAATTCATTCTCATAAATTGGTAATTGCTTTGACTTTATCATACTTTTATAGAAATGTATTTTTTGAACATCGTTTTATTATCTTGAGTTGTATTTAACGAAAAATTCACGGAATAGTACTTTCATTCTATACATCTTGTTTGCAACAATGGTTAACAACTATTTTCTGCTGAAGTCCCCTAGATTGATATATATATATATTTTTTATGATATACAGGCCAAATGAGCAGACGTGTCACCTGATTCAAAGTGACTACCGCCGCCTATGAACTACTGCAACTCAGGAGTCACATGAATGTGTTTGTTGGCCAAAAGAAATACAAGTAATTGGTATAAATTCTTTTTAAATGCTATTAACTTCTCATGTGTCCAACATTGTACAGTGCTTACCGGTGAAAGCACTGTACAGTGTAGTGGCAGAATATCATATATTATTATATTCATGTAATCTCCACAATACTAATGGATCTGAGAATGAATATGAGTTGATGTAAAAGTAACTTTGTAATGGATACTTACTACACCAAGTTTTTCAGAAGCTCTTGCTTTCCACATTCTAATATTCATTTCATCAGAACCTGATAGAATATATTTGTTGTCTAAAGTCCACTTCACACATGTGAGTCGCTGCATTCGTTTAGTATGATATACATCTCTAGAGTTTCCTTTTAGGCTCTCAAATATCCTAACAGTTTTGTCGTAACTACCAGCCACAAATTCTCTGCCAGTTGGTGCATAGTCTACATCAATAACAGCAGATGTGTGTCCCATATGAATATTTACAGGTTGTTTCAGTTTTCTGACATCAAAAGTGTACAAACTGAAATAAGAAATGTAGAAATACTAAATACAGTCATTCCTATAAATAAATGTGTAAGAAATTAATTGTGCTAAGATGAAAGTTGGTATTTATATTTTTTTAAATTAAAAAGTTGCCTTTATTCAACTAAAGTAAATATATGGATTGTCTCTGGAATTGAGCCAAACTTTCAGAGTAACAAATGGAAAAAAATGTAATCAAATTAATACTTATCACATACTTGTAATCCTCATTGGCAACAGTGAAAATAAAAGCTTCCATTGGGTTCCATGATAAGGCATTAGACCTCAACTCCATGACAACTTTCCTCAGAGGACCAGATTCACGGCAATCATACAAAATTATGCTCCTGTCGCTAGCACATGATGCAAGTAGATTTTGTTCAACCTGAAAATAGGTAATATAAATTCACTCGATATTTGTTTATATGTATATCTGTACAGCAGAGATAAACAGAATGCACATCATGCTTAAATTAGTAAAGGGACTGCACAGAAAAAGACAGAGAGAAACAATTACTTTACATGCTCCAGAAATAAAAGAATCCAGTAACACTAAATGCCTAGTAATTATGAGATAAGGGATGAAAATTTTACTGTTATTTAATCTTACACACCCAATCGCCATTATCTATTGAATGTTTTTTCATAAATACCTGGTTAAAAGATACATGGTGAAGACTGTCTACTCCCCACTTGAAGACTTTCACAGGTTCGTTCCTGGTTTTCTCCCACAACTGGCAATGTTCACCACATGTCGCAAATAAGGGCTTTGTTCTGTGATGTGTTATGCCTGACATTACAGACATGCTTAGCAGAGTATTAACAGGTTCTTCATCCTCAGGTGAAAGTGCTTCAGATTTCCATGTCTTAATAGTCTTGTCATCACCAACACTTGTAAACGTTTCTCCACTAGGAGTGTAGCACAATGCACGTACCCAGCCCTCATGTGCTATAAAATTTCTTGTGCATTTTCTTATTGTTAAATCCCATACGCGGATTTCACCATCAAAAGCGCCACTAGCTAAAACGGCAAGTCGATTTGGATGTTTCCCCAAACTTGAAACACCATCTCTATGTCCATCAAGATTACCGATAAAAGGCTTTGCAAACACTCTTTCAAGTTTGACGGCATTCATCGCCCGTACATATTCACGAGGTGCTTCAAGTGGATGTAAACTCGGATCATAATTCCTTGGTACTAAAAAAAAATAACACGTTAAGTAATGTTTTACTGTTATTGTTTTAGTGGCAATAATAATATAATTATACACTTTATCACTACGTACTAATAAAATAAATGTAATGTATCGTAGTTCAAATTAACTCACACTTGTGGATATCTCTTTTAGTGGCACGTAAATAATCATCAGGATTCCGACTAATGACCTTTATTTTTAATTTAGACATTGTTTTCACTACAAAAGTATGATGTTAATCAAAAATACAAAATGTTTCAAACAAATGCGCTACACATGATTATAACCTCAAATCTTCTTTGCTGACACTGACAATTTCAACCGGTATTGCCATTAGAGTTGTGTAGCTCCTGATTGAGTGATGTAAAAGATATATATCATTCACGACGATAAAATGTATCACTCACACTAGCTCCGAATATATCAGTAACTCAGTACTATAGCTCACTAGATCACTATAGTACGGCCGCTGAGTTATTACCGATTTGACAGATTATTCTTAAATTAATCGATATAACCTTGCACGAGCGACACATTTGCCGAATGATTTAGAATACCTCTTTAATATAAAACTTTATGTCAAAATGTCAGAATCAAGTAATTTTCCAATAAACTCTGTTTCAAAACTTAAAATAGTTTGTAAATAATATGAAAACATTTATTTTTTGTTCTTTGGCGCGCTTGTACAAAGTTACATCGTGCGTCTAGTTTTCATAGTGATGTGCTTGATAGTTTTCGGTCCGAATTCATTGGAATAGGATCATTAGCGTAATTATGATTTACTTGAAGTAGTGAAACAAAAATATATTCATAAATATTAAAATTGCATGATCATGCAGTTATAAGGCCTTATCAAATTCGATACAGATGAAAAAATTACAAAAATTACAATACTCGTCACATCGTATGCTGCCATATCTTCTGTTCTAATTAGTAATGAATATTCGGGGGATAATATTGGGGGAATCAGCTCCCGTTTTACGACACTTTGTACGGAAATCCGTTAGATGGAACCGTTCAAAATACAAAAAAATTGTTTCTTGTTAAATTGTCTTTAAGTACATAATCTTTTTAGTGTTTATGAGGGTGGTCTGAAAAGTTTCCGAAATCAACACGAAGATGGCAGCACTCGTGAATAAATGCTAGTGAATTTCGTTGTTCATCTGTTGACAGTTACCCGCCAAAGTTTCAGCCATTTTGGACGCGCAGTTGTTGTGTAACAGTCGTTACAGAAAAAAATTGCAACTAATAACAATCTCACAAAAAATATTATTACAACAACGTAAAAAAGTAAAGTAACAACGTAAAGTACATTAACGTAACGAAGTCATTCGATCACTAAATTTTACTTGTCATATTTTCGATTTCGATTCGATGCTAATAGAGTAAACTAAAAAAAAAACTGTAAATCCAAATACGATACCTGTCATCCGTTTTATATTTCGCTCCTGCTCGAGACTTAGTATATTACGATTGTATACTAAGTTAATGGAGTAGACAGTCCAAAAAAAATACAGTGGAAAATAGAACCTCATCCTTTTGACGTGACAACGTCTTATAAATTGGTTTGCCGGGTGACACTTCAAGAAACTGCGTTACGCTCCGCTCACGTTATGCGCTCACAATGAGAGCGAGTGAGAGGCACGCGTCCCTTCCACTCGGGCATGGTTAGCCCGCCTAAGAGCGAGAGAGACAGACATAAAAATAAAATTTTGTTAATATGAAATTCAGTGCGAGATTCTTTGTATAAATTAATGTTTTAAATATAATTCTTTGTATAAATAAATGTTTTAAATTGTTACTATTATTTCATCCTTCTTCCTACTATACGAATGAATATTCACATTAAAATTATTTTACCACTCAAAGTCGTTGTCACGTAAAACTTTCGCCCGTATACCGACTTTACAGGCAACCAATTTTTTTAAGTCGGTTAAATACCAAAAAAATAAAAGTCTGGCAACACTTTTCACATTTCTGTTTGGCAAACATTGTCATTTCATAGGTTTACTTGAATCTCAGTCGATACTTCGACAGATCGACACTTTTGACAGTATATTGTAGTCTAGCGTTGTGGGCGTACCGCTGCGTATTTGGAATCGATTTTGGGGTCAAGAAACATATATAAAACACTGTAAACCAGAGATCAAGAAAGGAGATTGCTGTCCAGCGGATACATCTAAATGCTGCAGGTAAAGATTGTTTTTTGTCTGTTTCATATGATCCCATGAATATTATAAATTTTGTGTATTAATAAATAAATACAAAACGAAAATTATTGTTTTCAAGTGGTGTTGTAGTTTAAATTACGTACGTAAAGTTTTCAATTTAATTGTTTTATTATTAATATTCATAAATATACGGTTTTGCCATAGCTATGTTTCGGAAACATAATAGGAATTTTTGCATCGCTCTAATTTTCCTTCCTCTAAGATGCACAATGCAAAGTTAAACTTTTTCCTTTCATTAAAAAAATGGTTCAATTATTATGCTTTGATGACTATACAGTCAACAATATTTTTAATTAAAAAGACACAAAACGGCCCTTAAGTTATATTGTCTGTAAAACTTAATACTCACTTTTACCATTTGAATTTGTTACCAGTAATAGTGCAAAAAAATATAAGAATATTAAAGTAAGAATTTTGTATGGAAAAATCTCATCAAGTAACATACTAATTATGATTTTGTCAACAAAAATGTTTGTGAACTTAAAAATAATGCCTTTTGTCTAGCAAAAATATTTTTGCCAACTGAAAAATGTCTAATTGGCCTATTTATATAAATATCATTCATAAATGATATTCTATTTTAACCTGTATTGTCCCACTGCAAAGCAACAGCCTACCTACCTTCTTTATAATACTGTAATGTTTTTTTTATTACAAATAATGTAAACATTCTAGCAGATAATGGTATACCTGTATGATATTTTTTCAATCAGTAAAAGTTTCAGGTGCCAGTTAACCTGAATTGGAATAATTTCCCTTGTGACTAGTTAGAATGGAATTGATTTTATCACAGTTATAAATAGTTATAATATAATAATAATATTTTTTTATTATTTATTATTTTATTAAGCCTTTATTGCCAGCATAGTTTGACATATTCGTTATTAAATAGTTAAGTGTTAACATGCAATTAAATATATACCTAGTTTAATAAACAGTACTACTTGTACATCACTTTTAAAATGGGCTTTTTACCCACCCAGCTTTTTACCATTCATTCATTCATTCATTGTAACCATTTTAACTTACATTTGTTTAACATAATTATGTATGCAACCTTAAACTTACATCATAGAGGAGTCATAGTGGGCTTAATCATACATACATGTGACAGACTATCTTTGCTCCATCTCCATATCTTTGATTCCTATGTTATATGGGTTTAGCTCCAGTGCTTCCATGAGAATTTCCCTATCCCTATGGTTCTGGACATATTCCATCAGAAAATGTTGTACATCTTCCTCTGCCCCACACACTACAATTTGGAGATTTAGTTTTGTGCACTAAGTATGCAAATTTGTTTGATAGAAAGTGTACTGATTTAATCTTAATATTACCTAAACTAAAACTCATGTAAATGTTAAAGCACCTCAATTAAGGCTGTGTTAAGTTCACTGATCCATACCTTTTTTACAGGTCATATTTACTTTATCTTCAAATTCTCTCTTATTATAACAATGTGCATTATGAATATTTTCCTGATGTTGACAATGATAAATGGTTATAGATAACTGAGGATAAGTTGCTAATTTTTTATGCATAAAGGATTTTGTTTTGTGTCTTCTCTGTTAGCACAAAATAATAATTGCCTCATAGTATTAATTCCATTATTGACTTATCATTATGTACCTACTATATTAATAAAGTCAGAGCTTGAGTCCTACTTTTGATGTAATATGTGTCTGTAATTGCTTGATTTGTGCTTAGTAATATTGAATTTGTCTTTTGTGTATTTATTTATTTTGTTACTTAATACAAACACTGGCAGACCTGTGCAACATCATTTGCATTTCTCGAAAGGAATAAATTCCAAAAATCTCTGTTTTTGCAACATTTTTTATTGATGCTTCCTCCATAAATGGGCTATACAACACTAAAATATTTTTTTCAATTCGAACCAGTAGTTCAACAAAATCTTCAGCTTTATTATATTATTAGGATAGATTTTTATATAGCTATTACTGCATCTTTTTAATCCATCCTTTATGCAAATCTTTTCCTTATGTTTCCTTGCTTTGTTGACTACCTTTCCAAACTTTAATTTCCAAATTGACACATTGGTGACCCTTATTACGTTAGTGGTAACAAAACAATTTATAACACTAATGATATTGATTTTATTATATGTGTTTGTTCCATGTCTCTATAAATCTACTCCGAACTAAACAAGTTCTTTGTATAAAATGTCACCTAAACCATTCACGTTTTGTAAATTTCGAACAGAATATGGGGTATTTGATGACACGATTTACGATTACAGCCTTATTAGCGGCGTTATTGTTCATGCAATGTGACCGAATTAAATTGTGAAGCACGCAGCGTCCCCCTAATGTTTATAACACTTTATTAATAAAAAGTACGTCATCTCGTCACAGGCGACAGTAAGATAAGGTCACCGGCTTGCCACTAGCTACTCAATGGCAGTAGTTGTTCGTTGACCCGCGTACAGTTGCGCTGGCACATGCCGGTCCCGGTACGATTTTATCAGTCGCCCTGATTTTGATATTTCGATAATAGTTCATTAGAAATAGGTCTTTTCTTTAATTTTTACTGGTATATTACTTTCATAATATAAGGGTTTTGCTCGATTCTTACTGATGTATTAGGTAAGTCAGTTTTTATTAGCTTTTTAATAAATAATCCAAAATTTTGTGTAAAATATTTGATTGTGTTTATGTAGATACCTTTTTAAAGTTCCTTTCGTTTCTTTAGCTGAATTATAGTAACGTCAAGTTTACTTGCATCGAATGTGTGTAGTCTTAGTGAGTTCCTGATCCTAAAATAAATTTGAGAACAACGACGTGTTTACCTTTATTGGTGTTACTGGTAATCTCTGTACAACTTGAATTTAATCTCAACTGTTGTGTAAAAGCTTTATATTATGTTAATTACGCTAATTAATGAAGTATCTGAAGTAATCTCTATTTAATAACATTTATTACCTACTTTATTTAATTCAATACCTATTTAATTTGTGAAG